AATACTATTTAATACCAACGTTTACTGTAGTCGCCGAAAGTTTAATTTCGAAAACACAATCTCCGCCTCTGTCTTTAGTAGCCGATTACCACGATTCAACTTTATCGAAACTTCATGCAGTAGATTTGGTATAGGCAAACAGAAAACAAACTCTGAGTCAGTTTCTAGTTGCATACAAAAATCTTCATTTAAGAACTAACGTTATCGATAAAATTATTAACCGAATAACGCGTGATAACATCGATTTGAAAAAAATATAAAATCTCATAAAACAATATTATCTGTTAAAATTCACTAGTAACAGTTTTATTGTTTTAAATGATTAATACTACTGTCAAAATCATCTGCAGATATCTCTTATTAGGAGAACATTTTAAATATTTTACAAAAGTTATTTTATTGTATCACGACGTCATCTAAATTTACTTTCACAATGAAATATTATCTCTTACATTAGCTCGACTATTAATAAATTATCAAAATAATTCGTAAACAAATAATATATTAAACTAATTTAATATTTTCAAAAATAAAATAAAAATATATTATTCAAGTTTAATTTAAAAAAAAAACACATCAATGCATAAGGCATTAATAATAAATAAGAAAAAAAAGAACAGTTTCCCTAAAAAAACCTCCTGTGTTTGTTCGCGACATCACGAATAATTGATTATATTTACCAAACCATTAAACCTTTTATGGGTAGAATACTAAGATATTTATAATATAATTTACGTACAACTTGTTGAACGCGGCTATTAAGTTTAAGTTATTTTTGTAAAAGAGGTAAATTGACAAAATTAATTAAAATAGTTATCGACGTTAACGTTGAAACAGACTTTTTGATTTTTGTACGGGCATTATTAACAACATTTTAGATTCTGCTAAATGAGTAATGTATATTACAATGATGTTTATTTATTTTTTATGTTTTTTTTCTGTTAACAACTTTTCTACCAACAATTTTATTCCGATTTTCAAGTGTAGCACTTTTTCTGAAAGAAAATCTGATTGTGGTGGTACTTTAAGGTGGTCATTTTTTTTGTTTTCTCAGGGGTTTTCATAATATATGGGAAAAACCAAAAATTTACAAGATGCATTACTTTAAAATCAATAATATTATGGTCTTTCAAAACATTTACAACCGAACTCCGATCATAATCGTTTTTCGTAACCAATTATTAATCCTTTCTCTACAGATATAAAAAAAATTCCTCCTCTACTTTATTAACTTCTGTCCTACAACAGTGGCCCAACTATCATACGAATTAAAACCGGCTATTTTGTTATTTTGGGGCAACATTTGTGATAGAAAACGTAAGTTGCAAAAATTAAGAACAATAAAATTAGTAACGCCAAAACGTGCCGTAAATATTTGTCGTTTTACCTTTCGGGTTTGTACTATTTTAAGTACTAAAGGTATAAATACTCAATAAATGTATAATATTATTTTGCAAAACTATCATAATATTAATCACGTGCATAACGTTTTTTTATACTTAATATTATACATTATGTATTTTATCTATACTAATATAGCTCAAAAACTATTTTAACCGATCTAAAATCTTCTTTCGCTATATAAAGGTACATTATCAGTGAGCAACATGAGTTGTATTTTATTTTCAAAAAAATTTAGGTACCCAAGGTATCAAAAATAACGACCGCCGAATAATGGGCTAATAATCTGGTTGTCAATGACAAGAAAACTATTATTATTATTATTATTACTGTTATTTAAAGTTATATATAGTAATAGCAAAGCCGGGTCAGCTATATATTACAAGGGTATTGCCTACCTATACTGTTGAAATACTGATAAATGCCTAAAAATGAAAGGACAAAAATCGTCGTTTTATCGGGTGTCAATTACAGCAAAGCGTCTGAGATTTTTAAATTGTTTATCTGTGCATGGGCAACACTGTGCGGGACAGCTAATTTAACAATATACGCTTTCCAACATTTCGTGGTATTATTCATACATACTTTATAATATAATTTAATTTATTAAAAATCCAGCTGAAAAGTATTATATTTGCTGAATACTTTAATTTTGATTGTTTGCTCTATCCCAACCTGAGTTGAAAATAACTTGTACGCCGCTTTTTACAACCTTGTGGATTTTGAAACATTTTTTCTTAGATTCCTAAATAATAATAATATATTTCACAAAACAACAATTTATTATTAAAAACAAAAACTTAAAATATAAATCTACCCATTATAGCCTATGGCTGTGTTATGGGTAAGGGTTTCTACCCACAGCACAGAAATACTTTTTGGAAAACATTTTTCAAACCCGTCAACAAATATTCGTCGTCAGCTTTTTTCCACTAATTATTGTGTCCCGTTTGACTTTATTTTCATTTTTATATTCTTTCGAGGTCGTTATTTTTACATTTTTAAATATATTAGTTTATGCAAATGTAATTATTTTAGGTAGTTATATATTGTTTGTCCCATGAGATTTTTCTCCTGCGTCCGAGCCGACGTTTTTCTCCATAGGACTTAGTGCTCCGCTACGAAGGTTAAGTACCAAAACTAAAATCCTCCCACATTCACACACATACAATGTTACAGGATCGTATTTTCCTTTTTTTTTCCTTGAATGAGACATAGGACAGGTCCTATTCAAATTTATGAAACAATACTACACAAAATATGGATTTTATGCAAAAATATCATTTTCATGGTCATCTCCGTCATGCTGCTTTCTGACTATGTACAAAATATTATTATTAGCTGCTTGCTCGATATAAATTCGCCATCATTTCAAAAAAGTTTAATATTGGATGTGGAAATGCAAATTTCATTAACTAAACAAAAAGAAATTTATGGGATTCACACGCAGGTCTAATGACATTTTTTCTCATTAGTTAGCAACATCCAAAGTAACTGGCGAAACTGACGGAAATGTATTATAGTGACATTAATAAATAAATGTAATTTTATAAAATAGTTCCATGTGGATAACGGTACGTAATTACATTTGTTGCTGCGGCAAAGCCAACTCCAAAAGAGAAAAATACCTAGATATCTTCGTATTTTTAATTCATGACGATTTTCCCAAAGGTACCTATTACATAACTGCAGGACATGCAATTTTCAGGAACACACGATTTTTTTTTTTTATATTTTAAACAAAAATGTAGGCATCAATACTTATTGATGATTCATTCTTAACCACAAAATATTATATTTTTCGATTTTAATGAATTCTGTTGTATTCCTGGAAGAAAATATCATACATATGATAATTTCGTAAAAAAAATCCAAAATATTTCCATTTATTTATCTGATAATATTAAATATATATTCTATAATAACCATAGTTAATAATGTGTTATTTACATCGAATATCCGTAATACTTTTCGTTGAATTTTCGCCAAAAATAAAGACTATTTCAATTTATGGGGGTCTATTATTTATTTATCTTTTTTCCGATCTCTTTGAACACTTTTAGCAACTCCTTCTGGATCGATTGAGTTCAAACTCGGGAATTAGAGTTGCTTTATATGTGGGCATAAGTGATATAAGTTAGGTTAAATTTCAATACGAATTTCACTTTATGTTGTTATGGAAGGAATGTGTTTTGTTTAACTTTTAACACACTTATTACAGACCCCTAAAATGAAGCCAGAAAGCTAACATTTTATAAATACATGGTGTATATATCAAATATGTGCCGTTTTGAAGATTAAGCTTTCAGCCCTCCTCTTTACCATTTTTAATATAAAAATTGAACGTTTTTTTTTTGAAAGTAATGCATTTTATATAATATTATATTATATTATTACAGTATTTGGATACATTTTTATTGTACTTCAAAAAATATTTCTATAAAAAAATTAATTTCTAATAACGGAAATTTTTGTACGTTAAATATAGGTATCTTCGACTAATTTTAATTTGGTAACTAAGTCATTTTTTATTACAATGGAAAAGAAAAAAAAAGTTTTATTTTTTTTTAATTATACCAACTTCTCATTTGTAATGCAATTATGAAATTATGAATGCACAACAGATGAACTATATAATAAAAGTTAATTAAAAAAAAAAAAAAAAAAAATTATAAAAACAATAAAACTTTTTAAACCATATAGAAACTCTGTACATTCAGCAACAGTATATTTTATTCGTATATACATAGTTTTTGACCGTCGTAGTGAACAATACATTTAAATAATCCTACAAGTTTGAAAATGTATTTTACCATTTTACACGAATAATAATTTATAATTATTATAGTAAAAAAATGTTTGTATGCAGAGTGGCCATATTTTATCTTGATTATGTATATTTTTTTTATTTAAATAATAGGATATTTACAATCTGTAATGTTATTTTTTACAATAAATAAATTTCGTAACATAATTGAAACCCCCCAAAAAAAGACGTCCTAGGATAAGTAATTTAATGTATATCTGTAAACAACGATAAACCAATGCTAAGAAAAAACTATTCTGAGCGCAGTTTGGTGGATAGTGATGTTTTGTTAACACTATATAATATATATGTTATATTAACATGTGTGAAATTGGCTCCCCTACTTTGTTCAATTTACTCCAAACCTCTACTGGTTTTCAAATTTTTTCAAATTATTTTCAAAATAATTGTGTAGGTTTGGAAAAAAAATGGATAAAGTTGCGGGGCCAACTTCATATACGTGTTATATTATAGTAAAATAATTAAATAGGCAATATACTATTATATTTTCTATAATAATATTTGTTTAATATTGTACCGATTTTCACGTTTTTCTTGGTTTCCCCACGTTTTTTCCGGTTTTTCACATTTGCTGGGAAAATCGAAATATAGCCTTGTTTAAATACCTTTCCAGTCAGATTTCCTTTTAGAAAAAATGCTTTTATTATATGTTGGATCAAAATTACTAATAGAAAAGTTGTCTACAGATAGACAAATCTTAATATTTTACTAATATAGTTCTTAAATTTTCCCGTTTTTTCTCCATTTTTCACAATTTTTCCCAGATATTATGAAAACCGCTTGAAAAATCAAAAAATAACTTCTTTTAAGTACCATCTAGACAACATTCCCTTTCAGAAATGGTGCCATACGTTTATATTTGAGCAAGATTTCTGGTAGAATTTTTGTTCACAGGATGAAAAAATAAAAATCTTAGTAAAACCAATACATTCTTCGCTACACCCAGAATCTAAAAGATACGAACATACTTCGCATGATGGGTATTTCTAGTTTTGTATTAAAAAACGCGGCTATAGGCAGTTTTTGAAAAAATAAGTACTTTTTTAAATAAAAATATTTTATGTGAAACGAAACGGATTTTGTCAATATCGGCATTATTACTTCTGTTTATTTGTTCATAACGTATTGCCAGATTGAAATTGTGATGAATATAGCAGCCGATTTTATATAGGTATATTTAAATCAATTTTGTTTTAAGTATAATTTCACGCAATGCGTTGCATTTTTCGTTTTTTTTTTCAAATTCTCTTCACTAAGGCAAAGCATACAAATGATATAGATACTACCGTTTAAATTTAAAATTTAAAAAATATACGGTCGACTGTTGATTATGAGAACAACGAACATTTTAACTTGATTACATATCGTATAAGAGAAAAATTAAAAAATATATTTTAACATTCGTTACATCGTCATATTAATCAAATATATTATGGTAAATAGAGTTTGAGAGACAATATTTATTGTACTAAAGGTACAAAAGAAACACAAACAAATACAAATTAACGAGTTAGTTACCAAACGGTAAACTAAAATGTTGGACATTTGTATATAATATATATATATAAAGAAAGGGAGAGGAAGAGATCCATAACTGCAAAAGAATATGGTTTCCGCCATTGTTTATTTCAATTGGATTTAGGTATTTTGTGTAGTCTAATTTAGTAATTGTGCACACAGCAATAATACATCATAAGTTGTAAAAAATTAAAATAAAAAAGAGAAAAAGATGTAATTCAGAAATACCAGTCTATTTCTTAGTTTAATCAACAAAGATTTAATATTTTATTGTTATTAATATTTTTGGTTTCAAACAACTGAACCGCAATAAACTGCAGAGTATTAGAGATCTGTAAAACAGACGAGGCTCAACGTTCGCGTCACCATTATATATAATTCCGTTTAATAAACCAACATTTCTCAATGCCTTGTCACGCTATGGGTTTCTTAATGAAAATCCCACAGACGTTAAAATTACCTCTGAACGTCTTCAATCTTAATATAGAATGAAAACCAAAAAACTGCGACAAATTTATAGTTATTAGGTATTTTAGTATCTAAAAAATAATGGAGATTAACGGGTAAGAAACTTAGCACGACTCAGAAAGTGTTAGACAGAATTAAATAAACCGGAAGAAAATGAGAATTATTGATTCAGACAAATGTATTAGAATATATAGTAACCAATTAAATTAATTTTTGTTGCCATGCTCTTGAAGAACTATTAGGCTAGAGAAAAAGAAATTTGAGCAAAAATTAAACGCATTTCGCATTATGTATAATATATAGTTCACCAGAATTTACATTTTGCACTAATAATGTAGTGTAAATCGTTGTCGAAATGCATTATAATCTACACCGATTTGCTTCAATGCGGACTTTCCAATTAATAATATTAATGACGTCTGGACTGTTTTAAGTACTAGCGTTGGATATGCAATAGACACCAGTTAGCCCGTGCAATATTAATATTTAGCTACTATATTATGCTAATAACTCTAGTGCTCCATAACGGCTGCCCTTGACGTAGTGCGTGATGTTTGATTTACGGACAAATCAAATTATCAGTACTTATTATTAGTACTCATCCTCTAAAAAAATGAGTTCACATGTGGTGATACCACATACACGTGAAAAGCCAACTACGTTTTGAATGAACCCCGATTATTGGAATTATTATTATTATTTGAATTATTTGAAACCCCAATGGGGTATCACAGTGTGTAAAAATACAATAAAAAATTTTTGTGAATTTTTTTATTATAATTTTCCACGGGCAAATGCCCATTTCAATCGGCATTTCATTAACGGCTGCATCCTATGAGTTCCATAATACCAGCCACATATCCCTATACTGTGGACTATCTGTCTATTGTGTAATCAATTACAGAATACCTATTTGATACTTATTACCTAATTGATACATACCTAATGTATTTTCGCCTTCAATATTTTGATTAGTTCGCTGCAATGCCCCATGCTTCCCTTCCGTAACTCAATAGTTAATTACTTTTACTCCTTGTAATTATCCTTGTCCGTATCTATTAATTATTATAGTTATTTCCATGTACTCTATCCTCGGTCTTCTTTTTTCGATACGACCTACGCCGAATCCCATGACTTATTTTGTTAAGCTATGGTAACGAAATAGATGCTCGATTTCTTTTCTCTTCTGTACCAATTGTCCATGTTTCGCAGCCATCAAATAGAGCCACATTCCACACATAAAATTTCTAGAATTTACTGCCAATAGTACACCGGCATTTAGTGGTCAGTAGATCATTTTTACCCTGAAACGCCCTCTGAAATCTTATTACGATTTCTGCTTTGCCTTCGGACATCTTCTGTTATATTATTTCTTAAAAATAATTGCAGTATTGTACAAAACATCTCTACAACTACACATTTTATCAGCCAACACATCACCGTAATATTGAAAAACAATCGTGTAATATACTTTAGTGAAACTGCTTCTACCTATTGGTTTTGCCAACATAAATTATATCGTTTGACCTGCGCCATTAAGGGAATTTATTTGTACCGTCTCGGACATTTAGACGATCGTTATCCCCAATATTATTATTAACAATAAAATTAGATTATCGGTACCCCAGTGTTACACGGTTCGCTGGGTTTTCTATATAGGTTTTACACATTAGTTTAAATAACATTATTATTATCTGGTTTTACGAGCACATAACAAGAACCGCATAATTCAAACCATCACTTATTGATGTATTTTGCTGACAATTTCAACCTACTCAAATGCGTATAATAAATAAAAAGACGGACAGACTTCGCATGTGGGAGGGCCACTATTGTAGATGAGAAGTTGGAAAAGTAGTAGAGGGGATTAACTATTGCTAACGAAAAAACGATTCTGAGCGGAGCTCGGTTAATAGTGTTCCTTTTTCAACAATATATATGTCATATTTATGGTAAAATAATTACATATAGATAATATTTTCTTTAATGATATTTGTTTAATATTGTTCCTTTTTTCCCGGTTTTTATCGTGTTTTTTCTTGGTTTTCCCCATTTATTATGAAAATTCCTGAGAAGATCAAAAAACGACCTCCCTAAAGTACCTCCCTAGTTAGATTTCCTTTCAAAAAATAAACATCATTGTAAAACCAATTAATTCCTCGCTCCATTCAGAATCTAAAATGAGAAAATTGCGTATAGAACTTAAATATAATACAGGGGCAGAGGAAAAATCTGTACATGATAAAAATCAGAAACATCTACAATTCACAATATAAATACAATACAAATGAATTGTTTAAGCTGTAAACGGAGCGAGAAATATATGAGTTCTATAAATCAGTGTTTTTATGTCTGCGACCACTTTTTTTGTTTCGTAAAAGTCTTGCGAAATGTTCACTCTCGTATATTTTTTAAAATTACGTATTTTTCGCCCAAGGATACTATATTTAAAATATTTTTCTAAATTCTTGATAGTTTATATCCAAAAAAAAAAGACGAACAATAAACCACGAAATGTAACATGTTTTTCGATAAAATCTATATGGTGGCGACTGACGGAGTGATTTTAAACGTATATCCGGATGGTTAAGGAATTCGAAAACAACACGAAGACAGGTGTTAATTTCGAAATAAAGTGCACTTAAATATAAGAGATTTTAAAATATTAAAATCATCAGCACTAGTGTCATACTTCGAGTTTTTTTATTTTTATTTATTTAATTCAAGTGGTTAACAAATTACAGTTTAAGATTATTTGGAGAATATTCTCTAGGAGTACATAGCATTATTTAGTGGGGCACTGAAGCGAGATTATTCCAAATGATTGTGCGAGCGGTTTACCAGCGGTGAGTTATGATAATACAAGGAGTGTATAGCGACAGTCGTGTTTCGTATTCGTGTACTATTTTCGCAAGCAGGTCTATCTGATAGTATATAATTTCAAACGCATAGAAATAATAGAACCACAATTTAGGCACTTAGTGAGATATTCTATTTAGATATTATAATAATAAGCTATACGATTCTTTCAGATTTGATCTATCTGGTTTTTTTTTTTAAGTAAACAATTTGGCGTTTTTTCAATTTCATCGAAATCGTTTAGTATTGAAACTACTGATATGTTTACGCAAAAACCAATACCTTTACCTTTACCCATTATCTTTAGAAAAAGTTAAGTTTTTTGTGAAACACATGAAATAAGTGTATACGTTTATATTTGTTTTTCGCATTTCGTTACATACCTACTATAATAATATTGTTCATGGTGAGTTCTCTGCAACAAACTAGCGATTATCATCAGTGTTCGTTTCAAGTAAGTCGACGCACTAATATATAATTGTACATATATAGCCCAGGTATATCTTTTCCAAATATTTTGCTTGCATGCATACCATAAATTCGAACTTTCGATCAATTCTCATTTTTTAACGTACCCAATCAGTTAAAGTCCAGATAGGAAATCTAACGATATGTGTGCTTGCATCATTCTGTTCATCCGGGAAACAGGCTCTATAACCGGATATTTCGAAACTGAAGCACGAAAACCGAAATTTGATAGGTCGGGGACTGTTCGAGTGAATTAAAACACAAATATCATGACATTTTAGGGTAATTACCATAAGAGCAAATGGTAACATATAAAAAAACTAAAAATATATATTAACGAGAAACCGACGTTTTTTCGGGAAGTTTTCAATATTAGCAAAAGTACATGTTTTATCAAAAATGTACCGCATTAAATATATTATATAACTCTATAATAGGAATGCTAAAGCCTCTGCGAAGCTGTTTTGTATCGAAAAGATATTGTCTTCCGGTCGGAAACGCGTTTGTGGGAGTGAAAAAAGACAGACACGTAAAACATATTATATGCGTTAATCCAGGGTTTTGAATGAATACATATGTTAATGCATTCAATGTATAAACTGTGAGTTATATAATCGAGAATGCGTTCATTTCACTATTGGATGTGAATGCGTATTGAACGTAATAATGCATCAACTCCAAACACTGATTTATTGTCTAAGTGGCTGTACTGTAATTACTTATACTAAACAAAATGTATTTAATTTCAATTTGTATTAATTAATGTACAGCTTAGATAAAGTACCATACAAATTTCAATTAGGCATGATTAAACAATATTTAATTTAGCCCTATTTC